GCTTTGGGAGGCCAAGGTGGATGGATTACTTGAGGTCAGGAGTTCAAGACCAGTCCAGCCAACATGATGAAACCCCACCTCTACTAAAAATACAAAATTAGCCACGTGTGGTGGTGGGCACCTGTAGTCCCAGCTACTTGAGAGACTTGGATAGGAGTATCCCTTGAACTCAGGAGGTGATTGCAGTGAGCCAAGATCACACCACTGCACTCTGTTGCCTGGGCAACAGAGCAAGACTTCCTCTAAAAAAAAAAAGTTAAAGAAACAGGTGAAATTAATTTTAATGATTTTATTTAACCCAGTATGTACTAAGTATTAAAATATATAGTGAATATAAAACCATTAATGGGAAAATTTAATTTTCAAAATTCAGTGTGTTTTATACTAACAGTAAATTTCAATTTGAAGTAGCCAGTTTTCAAGTAATCAATAGTAGCGACTACCATATTGGTGAACGTGAGTATAAATAATCAGCTCAGTGGTCAGATGTGTTGGTGGAAGATTGTTGGTGGGCTGATTGCCTCTGTTTTCTCCGTGAAATAGGAATCAAGTTCATCCAGCAACTGGAAGTAAGAATTGGGAAGAAGATGCTAAAGGAGAAAGGAAAATATTTGAAATAGTCATGCAGGGGGATGAAAGAGTTAATAGAACCAGAAAAGTGTGCTAGAATGGGTGTAGCACCAATGGCCTATTTGAGGTTAGTGTTCCAGAATTTCCAGCGAGACTCACCGTGCTGAGTGTGTTTTTCTTCACCACCTTCTGCCTAGCAGAGGCAGGGGCAGTGGGCATCTGCAAAGTGGACCAAGTTGTTTTTAAACAGGGTAAAATCGATTAGAAAGCAGATGCCAATCTATCACTCTGGTAAAAGATATTAAAATTTTCCCATGGGAAGCTTGACCATTTTTTTCTGATGTAGGCTTTGTGCTTGTGGGTTGGGGTGGAACATGAGATGTTAAGCAAGAATGTGTGGGAACTTAAAAGCATAGTGACACTTTTTTCGGCCACTGAACTCTTGTCTCAGAATTCTTAGCAAATTCTCCAAAATCTTTCTCTAGGGTCACTTAATTGAGCTGTCTTTGCCATCCTTCTCTTTCCTTAGAGGTAATCAAACTATTTCTGAAGGTTTATTTTTTTTAACATGGTTTTAATCTGATACATAATTGTCAAGACTAAATGTGTGTTGAGCTGACTCCATGTTTGAGGCTAGAAAGATGTTAATGAAGGCTCTCTGTTCCCTACTTGTAACCTGAAGCTTCCAGTCAACAGAATGAATCAGAGAATTTCCAGCAACACACTAAGGTCCTTATGTAAGGAGAATCACATGCAATTTTTGTCTTTGCAGAATTCCTCTCTGTATAATTATTCTTTTGATCATGCTACACATGAAAAGAAAGGCAACGGGGGTATGAATTATGTCCTTGTTTCACTTGGCATTAACAATTGAGACAGGGTGAGGAGACTGTGAGAACTGCTTGTCTGAGGGAGGTGGTTCTCCATTTGTAATTGACCAATGCTATGTGTGTCCACAACACACATAATTGACCAGTCCTGGGTATGATACAGCAGTAAGTGCAGCCTGAACTTTCTCTACTGTGCATTTGGGAACAGTTCATTGCTTCTCACCAAGTAATTCAGACACAGTTGACTCCATTGAAACTTCGACTGAAACAATGCAGCAATTTTCCCACTGGTTTTATACTAAAGAGATTGAGGACTTAATCTGTACTGTACCTAAAATGGCTTTCAAAATTATCAGTTTACAAAGAGAGTTTATGGATATGTTCAGGAGGTAAATCACTTGCCTTCTCTTCTCTGATGCTTTTCGACACCGCAGGCAGAAGCAATCACTGTGCTTGACTAATGCCTTGTGCTTCCATAGCATTTTGTACATAGTTTAACCATGTCCCCGAACGTGAAATCCGTTTCAGAACTTCATGCATTTGCATATGATGTTATTTTGCCTTCTCTACTTACTTGTCAATACCCTGTTATACTTCAAAATCCAAAAATGCCTGTTGAAGGGATGAATGGGATGCTTTATAGAGGAAATGACCTTCCCTGAGTTGATCACTCTTTCTTATGAGTCCCTACACACTTGACTTATGCTTCATTTTCACCACTTAATCCAGTTCTTAAGATGTATTTACCTGTTGGTCTCTTTCACAAGTCTGTAACTCCTTCTATGCTTCGTGTGTGTCCCTAGTGCCTACCACAGTACCAGGCGTGTGATAATCCTCCACTGTTTTGTTGAATGTGAAATATAAAGAATTAAGCATGGGTGTGATTCAGGTGAACATAGGAATAACTTGAGTTAGGTCATATTTTTATAGCCATAAAATTCTTATTGAAGTAAGTCAGCCAACTTGCTGCATTTCAGATAAAACCTCTACGTGAAGATATATCATTTTTAGCTCAAAGCAGAAGTTTATATAAAGGATGTAAGCTTTTGTCCTATTTACTCAGGAATTAAACTAAAAAGAAATCTACAAATTCATTTATAGATAATTTCAAGTTGAGGCCTATAGACATGTAAGAAAGGTTTCTTTAAGGTTTAATGACCAAGTTTCATGTGAGCTCTTACTTGGGAAACAAAATTCACACATGGCATTAATATACTATAAATTGTGATATATAGTGTGATTTATCAAAACATTCTTATATCCTATCTATGGTGAAATTTAATATTGCCAATAAACGTTCCACTCAAAGAAAATGGTAAAGCTGTGTGTGCTGTGCATGTTTTGTTTTGGAAACTTACTATTCCTGAATGCTCCCTGAATTAATTTTTGCAAATGATTTGGAAAATTCAAGGAAAAATTGTCTTTTGAGAGTCACCTTGAATGTTATATTTGTATGTCAAAGGAGTATTGAATTTCTTGTTGATACATGTTGCAGGGCTTTTTTGGTTTTGCTTTTATTATTCATTGTTTCTCCAGTTCTGTACGGATGTGTAATCTCACATCTGACGTCTGACATTTTAAGATATAGAATGTTTCTTTCGTTCAGGGGGATAAAATCCTCCGTGTGTGTGTGTGTGTGTGTGTGTGTGTGTGTGTGTGTGTTTTGTGCACATCTTATGACTGTCTTTCCAAACAATACACATTTCATGTTGGATGGATGGATGGGTGTGTGGGTGATTAGATGGATGGATGGACAGACAAGACAGATAGATGGATGAATGGGTGGATAGTCGAACAGTGTGTGATTGCTCTGAGAGTCCAGGTGTTGGGTTCAAGTCACAGCTTTGCTAATTAACTCCCTGGCCTATAGCTAATTAATGATACAAGCCTCTGTCTCTTCAATGTAATCATAGTTCTATACAGAGTTGTAAGGGTGAAATGAAATAGTGCATATAAATAACTTAGTTTTATCATTGGCACACAGTGCTCAGAAATGTTAGCTATTATTAACATAACAATAAAACACTAATCAATAGATATATGGCTATAACCATATAAACCGTTTTTAATTTAAGGATGAATTATTTCAACCTGTAAATATCAGGAATGCATTGATGGTAATACACTTCGGAATACCAGTAATTTTGTAATCGTAACGGCGTATACATATGAATATGCAAAGTGTAACAACTACAGGCTTCCTTATCTACTTATAGAACTACAAGTGTAGCTTAGATATGAAAACATTCTTACACTTCATAATAGGACAGCCAGTGTGTCATGCAGCTTGTCTTCTTAAGGTACAATTGCTTTGTGCAGTTACAATGTTTGTAATTTCTAGGTAAGTGCCCTTCAGGCAGATGTCTTTCCCTTCAGGGAGACACTGAGGCTCTCAAAAGGGGTAATAATATTTGAAAACATCTGGAACACGGTTTGAGACCATTAGGCATACAGCCCCAAGTTTTTATTAATTTTTACTCCAGATTTCACTAGAGGAAAAAGCAACACGATTTTTAGGCGAAGGAATAAGCCACTTGAGGTCCGCCTCTGAATCAGTTTCACAAAGAAAAGTCCATCCGCGCAGAGGAAGGCCAGCGGAGCTGAGTACTTTTTTCTGCTTAATGAAGGGTGACTGCCCGGAAGACACTTTCAGGTTTCTCATAGTTTTAACATGTGGGTCCTCCTTGGAGGCGTGGGGTAAACAGTCTAAGGCTGCTGAGGAAAGGCTGTGGATTCTTCAGGTGAGGGCTCTAGCCAGGTCTGAGCCGCGCAGCTGGGGTCAGGCTGTGCGCGCGCCTGGACACGCGCAGACTGTTTTGAACTTGAGCAACGCCTCCTGCTCGCATTCTACTCGATTTGTTTGTGCAGAGCTGGACTCCTCTAGCAGGAAGTGCCTGCCCTTTAAGGAGTGCAGGCAGTTCCCGACAGCCCGCCCGCCTCCCCCGCCTCCTTGCTCTGCTTCCTTCTCATTGGTCTGGAGGCCGGCCGGGCCTAATCCTCGCATTTTTAAAATGTCTTCTTTTGTCAGCTTGAGATTTTCCAGAATTTAAAAGCGGAAAGGAAAAGAGAAGAACAAGGAAGCTATTAAAGATACATTAAATAAACCCTACTGGGAACAAGTGTGTGTGTGTAAGAGAGAATGTAACTTTTGCAAGGGAAGTTGGTAGATTGCTTATTATTTTAACAAAGAGGGTGTGTGTGTTGCGGGGGGGAGGTGTCCCTGAACTGGAGAAGCA